TACGATGGCTGGATGCGCGCCTCGTGATGCATGTCGGTGATGAGTTTTTACAGCTTTGGTAGTCGCTTTGCTCCGCCGGCCTCAAATCCTCCTCGCATCGTAATAAGTGCGCATACAAAAGCGATGTATCGATTCATTATTTCAAGAAAAGTCTAATGAATGCGACATATTGAGCAATGTTGTGCAAGGAGACTTAACCAAAACTCGCCTTCACCCCGCCGCCTTGTTGGGGTACTCAGATCGGAGGCGACGGCGTAGTGGTCAAGCAGTAGGCCGGCTCTGCTCTTCGGCGCGCACGTGACAATGCCGGGAAGTGCTGCCTGCGCATGAAGACCCAGGATGCCGTTGACTAGCCGTGCGCTACCACCCGACACAACCACCCAGTTCCTGCACAAGTAATTAAGAAAAATTATTAGTTTTTTTCATCATATCATATGAAGTAGTGGTGATAAGATATACATTTACTTACTTTTGTCCTTCGGGGCGAATCACTGGGCGTTGGTGAGGAAGCGGAACCTGTGGGAGGCTCGCGGGACCTCGCAAGTAGACACTTGAAGAGGAGTTGGAGGAAGCGGAACCCGTGCCTGCCGCCTCCCCCCCCCTCCTCCTCCTCCACCTCCTCCTCCTCCTCCTCCTCCTCCTCCTCCGTCTGCTGAACCAACTCCTCGTCTGACTCGTCCACGGGCGCCACCTCCTCCTGTGGCTGGTTGTCCTCCTCACGTGGCGTGGGAGGAGACAGCCCCCTCCGGCGGCTAGCGGTCCTCCTCCTCCTGTTCGATCCCTCTGCCGCCCCCTCCGCCACCTCCTGCGACCGGCGTGGTCTTTGGTAAATCGAGTTCACAGACCTATGACGGTCGCCCGCCATCTTTGCTCAATCACCTGCAATAAAAAAGAAAAACAAGACGTAATTAGAAATAGGTGCAAAAATAAACAAAACATAATTACAAAAAACATAGTATTACATGTATTAGAAATATATGCAAAAATGAACAAAACATAATTACAAAAAACATAGTATTACATGTATTAGAAATAATCTTCATGATTGAAATTAGCTGGATCATAGGTCTCGTCATCACTATCAACATTGTCCAACTCATCAACACTATCCGAAGGAGGAATGTTGCCTTCATTGTCATTGCCGAAATGTAATCGCTCAAGCATTTGTATGTCCTTCAGATTTCGCACCTTGTCTCCAGCGTCCTCGTCATCATCCCTTTCATTATCTACTTCCATTCCTATCTCTTCGGTTAAGTCTATGTCAAACCTCCCTTGTAGCCCCTCTTCTTGATAGAACTCTCCATCATATGTGTTTGGGTTGAAGTTATAATCTTCATCGTTTGGGGATGTAGTTTACCGTGTGGCGATACCTTGTGCACAATAGACCAACCCTTAAGATGCTCGGCGTCTTTGCACGCGTATGACGTATAATAAACCTGGACGGCCTGTTGAGCCACAATGTAGACATCTTTTCCTGGATAAACGAAATCCTGTCGAATCTCGACTAGCCCAAGCTTAGGGGTTCGTCTCGTTACACTAGGATGAAACCAGTGGCATTTGAATATGACAGGAGTAAGAGGTTTGGAACCATAAAATGATAGTTCATAGATTTCTTCAATTCTTCCATAATAGTCGAGTCCATCGCTGTCGCGGGCGTAACAACTCCATTGTTTGTGGTTTGTCGATTGGGCCGACTCTGCTCGTAGCTTGCTGTGTGAAAACGATATCCATTCACGTCATAACCGGTAAATGACTTGACCCTAATGGCACGACCATTTGCAACCTGTCTTAACTCATCACTTATAGGCGCATCGGTTTGGGCTTTTGCTTGAACCAACAAATGAAATCGGGGCTCCTCGTCCCGCACCCGTGAAAGAAGGGTATCATTTTCTTGCGGGGTAGGTTGCCTTGATCCATGCCAGGATTAACGAAGAAATTCCCTATAACAACGAGAAACAAGGGGTTGGACGACGACCGAAACAAGCACATACAAATGAAATGAAACAAGTTCGTTTAGAACTTATCAATGAATGGTTGCACCTCGACAAGGTTGGTCAACACATATAGCATGATATCTGCGCCACTCTTCATTTTTCAATTGCTTAGTGGTCGATGCACTTGCGCTTCCAAGTTGCCCTTGGAAAAGGCCGAGGTTTGATTCATTTTCGCCAAAGATTGTAACGAGGGGTGGATTATGAAGCGTTAGGAAGTTTCAAAGTGTAGTATTTTCTGCGTGAAGTTCGACACCTCCTCTAGAATGTATGCCTCTACAATGGAAGCCTCAATTCTGGCTTTATTTCTACATTTTTTGCGAAGAGTCTTCAGACATCTCTCGATTGGATAGCACCAACGGTTCTGCATGGCCCCCCCATCCGTGCCTCATACGGGAGGTGCACAATCAAATGCTGCATCGACAAGAAGCAGGCGGGTGGAAAGATCTTCTCTAACTTACAGAGCAACACGGGTGCCGCTTTTTCCAAGTCATCAATGACGGTCCGAGAGAGCTCCTTGGCACAAAGCTGGCGGAAAAAGTAGCTCAACTCTGCCAGCACTTGCCAGACATCGTACGTGACAAATCAGATATGACATGTGGAGATGTCCTGGTTTGTAAGCATCGTACGTGACAACGTGCACGAAATCTTCTGAAATTTTTATCATAGCCTCCACATATGATATCACGACATCTCAACAAGTTTCATGATTTTCGGACTTGGTTTGCTTTTTATAGAATTTATAAACACTTCACACGCAATTTCGCGGACATGTTTCGTGAACAAGATGTCCAAAATTTCGGGTCCGTTCCTGGATACGGCCTCTCATAACACTCACTAACGTGACTATCAATTTTCGAATCATTAAACTCCATTATTCGTACCACGTGCAGTTCAAATTTCTAATTTCCAGAAAAATTCAAGTAAACGAAATAAAGTAACTAAATATAACAAAAAGCCACAAAAAGTCCCCAAATTGTAACTAGGAGTTCCTGGTGCTTTAAAAAGGCTGCACAAAAAAATTAGAGGCCAAAAACAAAAAAAAAAAAAAAACTTTGCCGAAAGTCTTGGGGCATGTCACTCGGCAAAGTAGTGTCTTTTGCCGAGTGCCGACCATCGGGCACTCGAAAAAAGAATGTTTTAATTTTTTTAAAATTTCCTCTTTGCCGAGTGCATCCATAGGAGCACTCGACAAAGAAATAATAAAAAAAAATTAAATCTTTGCCGAGTGCCGTCCAGAGGGCACTCGGCAAAGTATTTTAAAAAAAAAAATTTGCCGAGCGTCAGATCTGAGACGCTCGACAAAGAATTAAAAACAAAAAAAACAAATCTTTGCCGAGTGCCTAACAGCAGGCGCTCGGCAAAGAAGGACGTGGCCGAACACCGTTACGCGGGGCAGCCTATGCCGAGTGCCGCGTTTTTGCCGAGAGTCTGGCACTCGGCAAAGAAGTCCTTTGCCGAGTGCACTTTTTTGCCGAGTGCCTGGCACTCGGCAAAGAACTCTTTGTCGAGTATAATTCTTTGCCGAGTGCCCGATTTTTAACATTCGGCAAAAAATTTTGCACTCGGCTAAGTATCTGTTTTCAGTAGTGACGGCCATAGCAGCGACCATGTGCAGCGAACTGCCATGACCCATGAGGCCTCCCGTGCCCGCCCTTGGTGTGCTTCCTGACGTGCGCGCCAAGCTCGTCCATGATCATGTCCTCGGCCTTGTTGAACCCCGCCGTGGCTACTTTTGATCGTCAACAGGATCGATCTCCCTCTGCGTAGCCTCCGAAGATGACGCGACGTAACATAACCCGAACATCGTAGGCTAGGTTATTGAACATATAAGTCCTTATTTAAATACATATATATTCATCTCAATCCACGTATGTTGAAATAAATTAGACTGAACTAAACTAAGTTTCATTTTAATTCACTCTATTATATATGAAATGAAGTAAATACACGTGCATAAAGAGGCCTAAATTGGATCAGTATCAATGCTCCCCGGTGGACAGTAGTGCAACCAATGCTCTGTCTCTATCGGAGTAGATCTGTACGGGGCTCGGTCCCGGCTTCTTTGCCACGAATCCTCCCCGTCGTGTGAACTGGTCACCCTGCACTGCACCATCCATTACCGTGCGTGTCCTCGCAAGTGTCCAGGCTTCTGACGGAACGCATGGGCAGCAGCGGCAGGCCGGATCCGCATGAATTATTTTCAAGAGAACATTCTTCGTTACTACTCCGTCTCTCCGTGAAAGAATGGAATTCTCGTTTTCTGACAAGTTAATCTGTTAGAACTTTGACCAAAATTATATAAAAAATAATAATATTTTTTATATAAAATTAACATCATTAGATTAGTCATAAAATATATTTTTATAATAAATTTATTTAGAGATATAAATATTAATACTATTTTATTATAAATTTAGTTAAACTTGAGCTACTCTGATAGGTACGGATCTCGTAATTATATTCTTCTATGGAGGGAGAGAGTACTATAGTAAAATATCATAAGTTCATAATTCTTTGCAAGTTCTGGTTGCTGTCTGCGTCTGCCAGCAGAGGCCTACGTACACTACGTTTGTCCTGGACGACTGGATCTCGTCACTCGTGAGTGGTCTAGCACTCTAGCTCGCTCGCACGTCATTGACGAAAATGGCCAGCAGCGCCGCTTGTGTTGCAAGGCGACATCGACAGATGTGAGGAGCTATAGAGTATTTACGTCTGCATGACCTACTCCATCGCACAAATCAGAATCAGAACACCGGCGAAATATCTCTATACAGATACAGCCAGCCTCGCTAATTTCACATCGAACGTATGCGTACACTACAGGCGGCCACAACTCGCAGTGCGCCGCGGATCGGATGCACAGAACGAATGGCATAAACCACAGCAACCAACAGCTATCACACGCATTTCTGCAAAGCTGAGCTGAAAGCCGCATGCACACACAAGCACATAGACGACAGCTTGCGTAGAGCGACTCTATCCGTCGCCGGCGCCGTCTCACCAGCTATGGGCACGGCGAGTGATCAGAGCACGCCGCTCCTCCTGTCGGCAGATGGCGGCGACGGCGTCGTGGCGCTGCCGGGCGACGACGCTGGCGGCGGCGGGCACGGGGTGAGCGCGCAGCTGGAGCGTATCCTAGGCGACGAGTCGGCGCCCCGTGCACGGCGGCTGGCGCGCGCGGCGCGGGTGGAGCTCCGCCTGCTGGTGGCGCTGGCCGCGCCGGCCGTGGCCGTCTACATGATCAACTACTCCATGTCACTGTCCACGAGGATCTTCTGCGGGCAGCTCGGCACGCTCGAGCTCGCCGCCGCCTCGCTCGGCAACGTCGGTATCCAGGTCTTCGCATACGGCCTCATGGTACGTAATATAACGACGTGCCTTTGATTTCTTCATTCATCGCTGCCAACAGACGTGTCAGTGTTACGTATATCTTTGTTCTTACTACTGAACATTTGGTTGTTGCATTGCAGCTGGGCATGGGCAGCGCGGTGGAGACGCTCTGCGGGCAGGCCTACGGCGCGCACAAGTACGACATGCTGGGAATCTACATGCAGCGCTCCATCGTCCTGCTCACCGCCACCGGCGTCCCGCTGGCCGTCATCTACGTGTTCTCGAAGCAGATCCTGCTGCTGCTGGGGGAGTCGGAGCGGATCGCGGAGGCGGCCTGGGTGTTCGTGCTCGGCCTCATCCCGCAGATCTTCGCCTACGCCTTCAACTTCCCCATCCAGAAGTTCCTGCAGGCGCAGAGCATCGTGGCGCCCAGCGCCTACATCTCCACGGCCACGCTGGTCGCGCACCTGGCCCTCAGCTGGTTCGCGGTCTACAGGCTGGGGCTGGGCCTGCTGGGCGCGTCGCTGATCCTCAGCCTCAGCTGGTGGATCATTGTCGCCGCGCAGTTCGTGTATATTGTTAAGTCACAGAGGTGCCGCCGGACGTGGACGGGCTTCTCCTGCAGGGCGTTCTCCGGCTTGCCGGAGTTCCTCAAGCTCTCGTTCGCGTCGGCGGTCATGCTTTGCCTCGAGACGTGGTACACGCAGATCACCGTGCTCATAGCGGGCTTGCTCAAAGACCCGGAGATCGCCCTTGATTCTCTTGCTGTCTGGTATATATGTTCTGTTAATAGTCAATTAATTACTCACAATTGTTTCTTGGATGGACACGTGCTAATGCCTTTTAGTTGTTCCATTCACAATGTCAACTCTCGACTCGATCAGCATGTCCATATCAGGATGGGTGTTCATGGTGTCGGTAGGCTTCAACGCTGCTGCTAGGTACCTCTAACTTTTTGTAGCAACACACTGCTGCTCACACAGCACTCAACTAGATCAACAGAATTAACGAGAACCACTAAACAAAATCAACACGTGCTAGATGTATAAATGTATATACTATGAGTCTGAACGTATGCGACGACGACATTGCAGCGTGAGGGTGAGCAACGAGCTCGGAGCCGGGCACCCCATGGCGACATCTTTCTCTGTCAAGGTCGTGACCACGCTGTCTTTGATGGTGGCGTCCATTATAGCAGTCATCGTCATGTGCCTCCGCGACTACATCAGCTACGTCTTCACCAAAGGGGATGACGTCGCGCGCGCCGTGTCCACCATGACCCCGCTGCTCGCCGTCACCATCGTGCTCAACGGCATTCAGCCCGTCCTATCTGGTATACACATTATATACTCCTACTCCTATATGTTTAGTACTACTTTTCTCAATTGAAAGTCATTTTGGCTTTTCACTACACAGCTATGTATCTAGATATATATGCTATGTCTTAATACATCGTAAAAACTATTACTCTGTCTCATAATATACATGACATTGTAGAATCTGTCATAGTTATCAATGTTGAAGGCAAAAGACCTCAATGGCCCTACAAAGGAATCATGACCTAGCCTCTAGCCCATCCGTGACCCCTTTGCATCAAGCGCAACCCCACCCACGCTACCCCTATGCTTCGGGCTCTGCCCACATTCGGCCTCCTCTGTGTCCTTCAGGGTCGGAGCGCCGTGGTCCTTCGTTCCCTTCATGTCGGGCCCTACTAGGGGGCTAATGTCGGGGAGCAGGCGTCGGCTTCGAGAGAGGCGTCATCAGGGAAGGGGTCATCGGCTGTGGAAGGGCAAGCCACCACCCTCTCACTAGGTGCCGCCTTGGCACCGGGTGGTACCGTCTTAGTGCACCCTCGGCTCGGCGGCGCCTGGTCGACCCGGCTTGGTGTCGAACCGATCCGTCTTTGGTGTTGTCCTCTAACCGCACCACCTGGACATCGCTAGCTGCTGGCCACCAAGAGGATGGCGTAGAATGGGAGGGAAGTGGATCCCGCCACCCTTGCTTTGGGGAGAAAATCGGGATGGTGGGTGCGAGCGTTTGTGTGCGAGCTGTGGCAATCATAATGGACGGGATAAGGCTCCTCCCACTACGAGAATTTTTTCCTTTTTTATTCACCTTAGGTCACTGGATGGAAACAACAACGAGATGGATGGACTGATGGTATGGTTGGGTGGAACCCGCAGGATAGGCTATAGTATTAAGTATTATAATACAAAATTTGAATGCTATAAAGTCAAGTATTTTGATCGAGACGAAGGCCAGAGAGTTTAAATCTAGAAAAAACAAAATGAATTATAGTTTAGAACGAAGAAAGTAGTGACTTCATTTTCTCCATTGGACCATACATCAATCATTTTCTCCATGGTGGCGTGTTCTTTAGCAGCTAATACTTGGTGTTCTTGGGTTTGTCTTACTAGCTTTAATCGACTGGTGGCTTGAGTGGTTGAAAAGATGACACTGATCTTTTTTTTTTCTTTGCAGGTGTGGCGGTTGGCTGCGGGTGGCAGGCGTTCGTGGCATATGTGAACATCGCATGCTACTACGGCATTGGGATCCCGCTTGGCTGCGTTTTGGGATTCTACTTTGATCTAGGTGCCATGGTAAAGCTGTAGATTTCCTATTAGAAAATCACACTCTTTCAATTATATATCCTGTGTGTTTTGTTCAAGGAGACAACGGCAACCCACATGTGTACATGCAGGGAATATGGGGTGGAATGATAGGTGGATTGATTGTTCAGACGCTTATTCTTATCTGGGTCACACTTCGCACTGATTGGAATAAAGAGGTATTGTAAAGTTTTCATAACCTTATGCATCTACTTTTAAAAGGACACACATAGAACATATTCTTTACACCCTTTTATTTTGAATATGAGCCTTTTGATACAATGGCTCTGTTCGTGTGCCCTTAAACCTGGCTTGATCCGCTTCTTTTTTCATCCGGAACCGTGTTTTTCTCTCATAAATTCCTCCAACATTCCTCCAAACCATTCAAATTCCTCCAGAATTACTCCAAGCGAACAGGCCCATTAACCACAATATAACCGGTTTCAGTATGAAACTTTGACTTGCAACTTTTTTTGGAATATATGTACCATCAATCATGTGTTGCCAATTAATCTACAAGTTCTTTATATAGATTTGGGTCAAGTCAAATAAGTTTGACCAACTAAAACCCTGAATCAATCTATAATTGGAATCAGATGGAGTATACATGCATATTGCAATTTATGTGCTTTATATGAGTTAACTATATATATGTGTGTCATCAGTAACCTGGAAAAATATATATATGCAAATGGAATTAAGGTTCAGAGTTAATATAATAGTATCTCAAAACCATGAAGACGATGGATTTGGTTCTATACATGTATTTTAGCGACAATATAATGATCTAGAATTATTTGGAGAAAGAAAGAAGATTTTACTGTTAACTTTGCATATACACACCTAACTTTGTATTGTATTATAGGTAGAACAAGCGCGCATGAGGCTAAATAAATGGGATGACAAAAAGAAGCCCCTTTTGGCGGAAGATTGAAAAGTGATACGGATGGTGCACGCGGTCTACTATGCATGTCATAAGATTGCCAAAGTAGTTATTAGCTTGTTTGGCATTGAAATGGTAAAACTGAAATTCGAACAAGGGACTAATGGCTCTCTTGAGCAAAGTTTTTTCACTGCTACACCCGGCCTTTACAGGGGTGGCTTATAAGCATTTGTAGAGGCAGTTTGCCCGGCCACTCCTACGAAAGCGTGGCTATAAATTACCAATTTATAGGGACAGTTTCTCAGGCGTCCCTATAAATCGAATTTGTAGGGGCGGCTCCAGAAATCACGAATTCGGGTAAAAAATAGCAATTTTTTTAATCTCTTATAGTTTATGAAACTATACGAGATATATGTAAATTTGTGAAAAATGTTTACTACACTTTGTCGGATGAACAAATGACCAAAATAAAAGTTGTAGATCTAAATCAGTTCTACAACTTTTATGTTGATGACTTTTTCGGCTGATATCATTGATTATTTCAAAATATTGTTTTAAGGTGCTATTTTTTGAAATTCAAATTTTCAATGGTTCAAACAAAGTCAGATGAAAATATAACCAAAATAATAGCCGTAAGAACACAATAAATTGATAAAGCATAATTTTAGAAAATTTTAGGAAAAAATCATCAAATTTGAAGTTAGTACGAGGGAGAAAGACTAGTTATAAGTTTTAGCCAGAGATTAAAAAGAGAAATCACAATTTAAAAATTAAATTTTCAATAGCAATTTAAAACAGTAAATGATTTCAAATGGAAAAGTTGTAAACAACAAAGTTCTATAACTTTGCGAGATTTACTACTTTTATTTTGCTCATTTCTCCATCAAGGTCGTTTAAAATTTTTGAATTTTAATACTTAATTGTTACTATTTGGCGTCTATTTGTAGGAGCGGCTTTATATTTAGCCGCCTCACACAAATCCGATGCATGGGCCGCTGAAAGGTCCTAATAGCTAGAGAGAGGTAAATAACCTATAAAAATTTCTACAATAACACTAAGCAAAGTGGTTAGACAAATATTTGGCGAAGCGAATCTTGCGCTAGCCTACTAAAAATACAAGCCACCTATCATAATTCTAGTTTCTATAGTCTCCAAGCACACAAAGGCTATGTCACTACACTAAGTTAGTGAGCTCTCAAAAACTAATTAAAGAGCCTCACTAACCACTAGACTCGACACAAGCTATCTCTCAAAACTAATTACACTAAAGAGCTTAGCTACACTAAGAATGTAAAACAAGAGATGGATAGTGAGTTATACCACCGTATCGAGGAATGAGCCAATCAATAGATGAAGTCAATCAATCACAATGAATACCAAGAAATCCTAGGAACAATAATGACACAATGATTTTTTATCGAGGTTCACTTGCTTGTCGGCAATCTAATCCTCATTGTGACGATTCACTCACTTAGAGGTTCACGCGCTAATTGGCATCACTCGCCAAATCCACAACCGGGTGCCGCACAACCAACACAAGATGAGGATAACACAAGCCACGAGCAATCCACTAGAGTACCTTTTGGCTCTCCATCGGGAAAAGGTCAAGAACCCCTCACAGTCACCACGATCGAAGCCGGAGACAAGCACCTTCCTCCGCTTGATGATCCTTGCTGCACCAAGCCGTCTAGGTGGCGGCAACCACCAAGTGTAACAAGCGAAACCCGCAGTAAAACACAATCACCAAGTGCCTCTAGATGCAATCACTCAAGCAATGCACTTGGATTCACTCCCAATCTCACAAAGATAATGAATCAATGATGGAGATGAGTGGGAGAGCTTTGGCTAAGCTCACAAGGTTTCTATGTCAATGCAAATGGCCAAGAGGGTGAGCTTGAGCTGGCCAAATGATATTTATAGACACCCCCAAACAATAGAGCCGTTACCTCTATTATTGGGTTGCCTGCGTGATGACCGGACACGATCCGGTGTGGTGATCGGTTGTGTCCGGTTGCTCCGCGAGAGCCACGTGTCCCCTTCAAATGAGTTAGCCGTTGGCGCCCCGACGACTCTCTCTGTCACACTCTGACACAACTAATTGAACACACCGTTAGAAAGTGATCGGACGTAGGAGAGACAACGTTAGGTCGAGTCTAGAGAGCTCCCAGAGCTGCTCGAACGTGACCAGATCGTCCAGTACTACCGACCGGACACAACCGGCGTTAGGTCACACACCCTTGAGCTCGCCTCTTGCACAGACTCGACGCGACCCCTAGTGTCAGGTCAAACGTTTCACTCAGAGTCCGATCAAGGTAAAAAACTACACCGTGAGGTTCAGAGCATGACCAAACGCGTCAGATCTCCACTGATCGGACGCACGTCAGAGTCTGGTCATCTATGACTAAGTCATTCGCCTTGGGGTCAAATACCAGATGTGTCCGGTCCTAGTTCCAGACATGTCCGATCACTTCTGCAACAGAAGCTCAAGCCTGGGTAAAATACAGAACACGTCCGGTCTCAATTCTGGACGCGTCCAGTCACCTTGTGACCCACGCGACTAACTCCTTTTCAACTCCAACTCTTTCACCCTTGCTCAAATGTGCCAACCACCAAGTGTATCACCTTGTGCACGAGTGTTAACATATTTTCACAAACATTTTCAAGGGTGTTAGCTCTCCACTAGAATCTAAATGCATATGCAATGAATTAGAACATCTAGTGGCACTTTGATAACCACATTTCACGATGAGTTTCACCCCTCTTAATAGTACAACCATCTATCCTAAATATGATCATACCCACTAGGTGTCTTGATCACCAAAACAAAATGGCCCTATGGATTTCACCTTTGCCTTGAGCCCATTTTGTTTTTCTCTTTCTTCTTTTCCAAGCTTGAGCCCTTGATCACCATGGCCTCTCCACCATCATCATGATCTTCATTGTTTGCTCCAGGGTTAGCACATATCTCATGATCACTTAGAGCAAAGGTTAGCACATAGGGTTTCATCAATTCACCAAAACCAAATTAGAACTTTCAATCTCCCCCTTTTTGGTAATTGATGACAACCCTTTCACAAATATATGAATTTAAATACAATTTGAATTCATGTTGCTTGCCCAAACTTTTTACCATGTGTAAAGGATATAGACAAGTTTGATGAACCCCATTGGTAGCATTAGATCCCCATACATATGCGCTAAGAGTTTGGATAGAAGCTTGCACATATGCATGGATTTGAGATGTGGGAGAGCAATGTCTACCAAATGATGCTAAGGTATAAGAGATGGACCTTTGAAGTGTGATACCAATCGGAGTGCACCAAATATACCATCCTTAGCACCATTGCTAGTTAGATACCACTTGCAAAGACAAGAACTAGATACCTCATGAGATCAACATTTAGAAGCAATGTTCTAGTACCACTTGTGAAAGCAAAGCAAGGCATATCTAACTACCACCTATGCATGCTAGTTTTTCATTTCATCATTCAAACCTACAATTAGCATACACCACACAAGCATGAAATTTTAATTTAAAAACTTGTGCCATGCAAGCAAACATATGAAATGCACATTTAAATGCATCAATCAAGTTTATAAGGTTGCTCCCCCTACTTATGTGCTCAGATTTTAATTGATCCCTTTACTTTCATATTTCTCCCCCTATGTCAAAGTTCTCCCCTTTTGTCATTTAACCATATCTTTGTGCAATTTCTTCCCCTTTGTCATCAATGACCACAAATGTTTAATTTTAGATAGGGTAAGATTATCAATGTCAATCAATGGGGTGAGGATTATTTTCCCAAATTTAGTCAAATCTAAAACACTTGCCAAAGATATTTAACTTGGTTTGATCCAAGGACAAGCTTCTTCACACCTCATTTCAAGGGTTATCTTGTACCATGTTGAGTTAAACACTTATAGCTCATTTTCTAGATCAAACACTAGGTTCACAAGCCCACAAATATGTCATATGCTACCACTAGATCACGTCAAGCATAGAAGCAACAATGGTACCATACAAACATCAAATTCATTTGATTTTTATGAATGAGCCTATAAGACATGAGGAATGACTAGATGCACTAAATATGTCCTTAGCAAAGGATGTATGCATGCCAATCAACTTTTACCTTGGATTGCTCAAAGGAGAGGCATGCCATATAGGTGGGGCGCATCAACACATATTTGAGAAATCCAATACGTTCAACTCATTCCATAACTTGCAAAACCTCTTCTCATGTAGTGGCTTAGTGAATATGTCAACAAGTTGATCTTCGGTGGCCACACTCTCAATGCAAATGTCTCCTTTTTGTTGATGATCTCTTATGAAATGGTGGTGGATATCAATATGATTTGTTCTTGCATGTTGAACTGGATTGTTTGTCAACTTGATTGCATTCTCATTGTCACATAGTAATGGCACTTTCTTAAACTTGATTCCAAAGTCATTCAAGGTGGCCTTCATCCAAAGAATTTGTGCACAACAAATACCGGCGTATATGTATTTGGCTTCGGTGGTTGATAACGCAACACTATTTTGCTTCTTTGATGACCATAAAACAAGTGATCTTACCAATAATTGACATATGCCTGAGGTGCTCTTTCTTTGAACATTGCATCCTGCATAGTCAGGGTTTGAATATCCAACAAGTTCAAACTTTGATCTCTTGGGATACCACAAACCAATATCTTGTGTATGCTTCAAGTACCCCAATATTCTCTTTGTAGCCTTCAAATGACTTTCTCTTGATGAGGCTTGAAATCTTACACACATGCACACACTAAACATGACATCCGGTCTTGATGCGGTCACATAGAGTCGGCTTCCAATCATAGACCGATACAACTTTTAATCCATCATGTTGCCACTTGCATCACTATCTAAATTTCTATTTGTTCCCATTGGTATACTAATGGCCTTGCTCTCATTCATGCCAAACTTCCTGAGCATGTCTTTGATGTACTTGCCTTGACTCACAAATATACCACTCTTCAATTGCTTGATTTGAAGACCAAGGAAGTAAATCTACTCTCCAATCATGAACATC